GCGTTCGAATAGGAGCCGCCATCGCCATTGTACCGCCAACGCCCCATGATTTCTGTACAGGGTCACCATGATGCGGGCACTTTGGATGAGAATGGGACGTTTTAGGAGACGGCCATCTTGTTTTTAGGAGAGGAACACCAAAATTTGTTTTTGACTGTGACGTGTTTTAATATTTTTAATGTTTTTATTGTTCTGTTGTATGATTTGGCGATATGCTGTGTAAGCCGCCCTGAGCCTCCGGGGAGGGCGGGATAAAAATGTAAATAATAAATAAATAAATAAGGCCGCTTTGTGTGTTCAATACATGCTGTTGGAAGTTGCAGTGGGGCAGCCCTGCATAAAAGTCAGGCACTTGAGTCTGGGGAGACAAGCGATTACTGGCCGTAACTCCAAGGAGCACGTTCCCTTTCTAAGGTAATTTAAACTTTGGGGGCTGCGATCGTTTGGCTTGGTTCACCATTTGGTGGCTGGGGGAAAAGAGCTATTTTTTATTCAGTGCCCCAGTGAGAGTTACTTAAGAACTGTATGATTCGAAGGAGGAAGGCACTGAGGTTCAATGGCAGAGGACATGATCTGCAGGCACAAAGTCCCAGGTATGGTCTCCCATGAAGAAGAGGAGATTGGATTTATATCCCGCCCTTCACTTGGAGTCTCAGAGTGGCTTACAATCTCCTTCCTCTCCCCACAACAGACACCCTGTGAGGTAGGTGGGGCTGAGAGAACTCTCTCGAGGACTGCTCCTGAGAGAACAGCTCTGAAAGAACTTGTGACTGACCCAAGGGCACTCCAGCAGCTGCATGTGGAGGAGTGGGGAATCAAACCCAGTTCTCCCAGATCAGAGTCCACAGTCCTAACCACTACACCAAGCTGGTGCTGGGAAAGACACCCTACCCGCCTTTTGCTGTCAGGGCACCTGGAGAGCTACTGGTGGTCAACAGAGGGCGCAGGGGTATCGGGCAGCTGCTCACAGCCATGTGGAACCGGTGCTGGGAAAGACACCCCACCCCCCTTTGCTGTCAGGGCACCTGGAGAGCTGCTGGTGATCAACAGAGGGAGCAGGGGTCTCGGGCAGCTGCTCACAGCCATGTGGAACCACCGTCCCTGCAAAGCCCACCTTGAAGTCTCAAGATTCGTAGAGCATCGACCGCTGCCTTGCCTCTAAAGATCGCCCGGCTTCCCCTACTTCCTTCCTTCCTGTGCTTGCGATCGAGAAGAGTCTTCCTTGTTTTCTCCCGGCATTTTTCTGGTGCAGCGTATTAAATCGAAAAAGGTTCTCTGGAATAAATGGCAAACACCCATCTTTCAAGTGACCTCTGCTTCTTGCTCCTGTGCTCGCAGATCATTAACTGCTCCGGCTGGCCAATATTTCTCATTTGGCTAATTGATCTTAATGAGGATCAGTTGTCTGAAACCCATATTGCCAATTACAAAATTAGCATAGTTCCGTTATAATGGATTCAAGATAACTGGACTGTGAAAACACCAGGGGGATTTTAGCCTGGCGGGAGGGAATGTACTTTCTGCCCCTAGAAATGGTGTCGTCCCCCCCCCCTACTTTGCCTTCGTTTAGGCCAGTGCTGGGAATTGCAGCAATGAGCAAGAGGTCATGAATCTATGAGGTTGCCTGATACAGTCAGACTGCTCATTTGTCCCTCTAGCTTGGTCCTGTCAGCTGTGACCGGCAGTGCCTCTCCAGGATCTTGAGCAGAGAATGGTCTGAACACCACCCACTTGAGATTCGGTCATCTTGAGAAGCCAGTAATCAAATCTGGGACCTTTTGCATGCAAACCAGTCGCCCTCACACCAAGCTATGGACTTCACTTGAATTCTGCAGAGCAAACTTCTTTCCTTGCATCCCATAAAAGCTCTACGGAGCATAGGTCTTGAGCACTGAATAGTTACTGCAAATCATTTATTATCAAATAGCCAGAAGGAGTTTAAAAAAATTTTTTTTTGCAACTGCTAGGATTTTTTCTGGGTCCTTATCGGCAAGTAGAGATGTAACCATCTCATAGGGCAGAGCAGAATGACAAAGACAGTCGAAATGTAGTATCTTCTAAGGTTAACATACTACAGACACTCCAGGAGAATACGTGCAATGGTATCAGTCTTGCCAAAAAGATAAGGTAAGCGCAAAAACCTACCCCTTATAACTACCGGAGAGTGAGCATTTTATCTGGCCAGGACACAAGCTCTTAAAAGACTTGGAGAGGTCAACAGATAAGTATAACAGGGAAGAGATTTTGGAGGAAGAATGCCAGAAAACTCAGATGAACAACTGCAGCGTGCTCTAGAAGCAGAGCTTCGAGGCGCAGAAGGCTTTCCGGGCCAACCACCCACACTAAGCAAGTGACTTTTTCATATACGAGAGCTTTCAACAATAAAATCCAAGCATTAGAGGCCAGGCAGGAGTAATTCAAGGTCAGCAAAGAGACAAGCGGATTATCTTTGGAAAAAAAACCCTATATTTATACATCTGAATGACGGGTCACTTTGGACAGGGATTACTCAGCAAGGGCTGGATTACATACACTTTGGGTGGACAGAGGGTCTCCTGTAGGAGATGACAATGCCTCGCACTTTCAAAGACCAGTTAATCGAAGGGGTACAATGAGCCAGGAAGGCACAACTTTTCACCCAACACCCGGGAAGTGCTGCAGGGCGTCTGCATCGCAGGGCACACCTTGATCCCAAGCAGGAGGCAGAGAGATTTAGACGGACACGCCAGGGGTTCAAAGAAGACAGACTCCCAGCGGGGTCTTAGCGGCTTATGTAATTCTGGTGTTCCAGCAGAGAGAAGCTGTATGCTGTTGTGCAACTGTTATGGTCCGTCTTGTGTTTCCTTCTGACGTGCGGCTCGCTCGGCAGGGTGTGGGGGTACCTCCTCTGGGAAACCAGGGGGAGAATCACGCACAGTGGCTGGCGTTGGGTCTTCCCTGCCTGTTTAGGGGTGATGTGCTCAAAGAAGACAGACTTCCAGCAGGGTCTTAGCGGCTTATATAATTCTGGCATTCCAGCAGAGAGAAGCTGCAAGCTGTTGTGCAACTGTTACGGTCTGTCTTGTGTTTCCTTCCGACGTGCGGCTCGCTCGGCAAATCTCACAGGGCCCCTGGGTGGGCCCGGCACTCGCCCTGGCAGGGTGTGGGGGTGCCTCCTCTGGGAAACCAGGGGGAGAATCATGCACAGTGGCTGGCGTTGGTCTTCCCTGCCTGTTTAGGGGTGATGTGCAGGGTGGCTCCGCTTCCAGCTCAGCCCTGCTTCCGCCCGTGCCGACCCTCCCTCCTCCTCCAACCCCTCCTTCCTTTCCTCCCTCCACGACTTAATTTGCTCCCTGTCCCCTAGCGCGTGCCGCACTCAGCTGCTTCTGCGTTTAATGCCTTTTCTAAAACTCCACTTTTTAAGGCTCCAATAACTGTTCCAAGAAGTGGGAGGAAAAGGCTTTTTTGTGATGAGGGGGAGAAGAGGAAGCTTCATGATTAGCAGAGAGACTTGTCAGTCAGCTTCTGCTCCGCCTCAAAAGGAAAACACTAAGATTCTCTGTGAAGGTAAGAAGAGAGTACCTGGGCGTCAAAAATCTCACAAGTGGGCGGCCCCGGCAGGCGGATGTTCAGGCTGGGAGGCGAAGAGAAGAACACGCCTGGTTCCAAGGTGCTTCGAGGAGGGGGGAGCGGATGCTGAAGGGGCTCCAACCCAAGCAGGTACAAGGGTCCGGGGCGTTGGGCCAACTGCAGTTTCCTGGAAGGCAGGCAGCCAGCCGCTGGTGCGGTCTGAGGTGGCAGGGGATCGACTGCTGGGGCCAGAAGGTGGCACATGCAAGCACACAGCTGCCGAGGGCCTATTGGTGCTCAGGGCAGGCCAGGGAGGCCATGGCTGGCTTCCATGGCCTCTGTTTCCATCACAGCCTTCTGTAAGAGAGCCGGCGGGCTGCCCTCCCCAAGCAATGGCCCCCTGTTCCAGCCACCACCAGTGTCCCCTCTAAGCTGTGCATGTGAGCGGCCACTCATTGACACAGGAAGCCCCGCTCAGCAGCAATCTGGAGCCATGTAGGGTCTTGCACTGCCCGTTGCCCATTTTAAGATTACAGCAGTTATATTCTGCTCAGGATGTAAACCGCTCCGCTCAGTAGGGGGGAAAAATTAGAGGGCACGTCCCCACTAGCCTCCCATCCAGCTGCCGTATGAATCCTGGAATCACAGAGTTGGGAGGGGCCATACGGGCCATCTAGTCCAACCCCCTTGCCCAGTGCCGGATCTGCCTAGAGCAGGGGTGGCCAAACTGGCTTAACGTAACAGCCATACAAAAGAAACGTCAGATGTTTGAGAGCCGCAAGACAGGAGCAGATATTATACACGTTTTTATTGGGAAATGTGCAGATTTGCTTTTTATTAACATTATAAATGAGGCTGTGCGAAAGGGCTGTGTGTGGCTCCCAAGCAGTTTGGCCACCCCTGGCCGAGAGCATCCCTGAGGAGTGTTGGTCCGGCCGCTGCCAGTGAGGGGAGCTCTCCACCTCCCTAGGCAGCTGCTCTCTGCCTTGTAATGCTACGTAATAAGCAACCCTTTGCACATTTGCCTATTTGACAACTACAGGAAGCTTTCCAGCCTTCCTCAAGAATTGCACGGGGAGAGCCTCAGCGTCGGTGTTTTTCGACAAGAGGTGGCATAACTCCCCTGCACTTCCGGGAGCCTCGGTGGCAACTATTAAGGAAGGTGGCCGTCACTGCTTTGCCATATATTTCCCAATCTCCCCCACACTTGGGGGGAGGAACCTGGCGCAAGGCAGCCTCTTTGCCCCCTCTGTTTTCTCCAAGAGGACTGGGTCTCGCTCTGCTAAGAAACTGCCAGTGTTCCCTCTAAGCTGAGTTAGTGTGAGCTGGCTCACAGTTTTTTAGCCTCCGGCTCACAGAGTTTTGTCTTAGGTCAGGAAGGGGGGCTCCAGAGCAAACAGAGCAGTCAAATCGCTCGCTCACAGCTTTAATGCCAGTAGCTCACAAAGTAGAATTTTTGCTCACAACACTCCGCAGCTCAGAGGGAGCATTGGCTATCACTTCTTGACATTTTGGCCTCAAAGCCTTGGTCTTGTCATTTGGCCTTGACCTTCTGGCCTTGTCATTTTTAGACACACTAATGGAAAACAAACATCCACTAATATAGAAGAGGGGCTGATCTCAACCTAGTTATACGCACAGGCTCGCTCTCTCGCCCGCTGTCTCTCTCTCTCTTCTAGCCCAGTTCTCTCCTGTTTCACGTTCATCACAGGCCCCAAATTACAGAAAGCGAAAATCTGAAGCACAGACAGGACTACAGGGGGGTGCTCAGCCTCGTGGGACTGGCTGCGAAATGCTACTAAGCGTCGGGGCCCAGGTAGACGGCCTTCTCCATGGAGTCCTCCACTTGCATGTACTCCAGGTGAGAGGGGTAGTTGGTGCACTCAAAGCGCTTGTTGCTACGGATGTACTTGATGAACTCTGGAGCCCCGGGGTAGATGATGTTGTCGGCCAGGATGACGGAGCCCTTCCGCAGCAAGCCACATTCCTGGGAAGGGAAAGGGAAGAGTAAGCTGTAGCTCAGACGTGCCTATGGCAGCCATATGTGCTCAGAGCTGGAAAAGCTCCAGAACAGTTATTCATTTAGAACATCGATATGGTGTCGGAGAACCGCTCGAGGTGGAAAATAAAAGCCAAGTGACGTCAGTTGCCCAATCTCATCAGCTCACGGAAGCTAAGCGGGGTCAGCCCTGGTCAGTATTGGGATGGGAGACCACCGAGGAAGTCCAGGGTCATTATGCAGAGGCAGGCGATGGCAAATCACTTCTGGACGTCTCTTGCCCTGAATATCTTAGGAGGTCACCGTAAGTTGGCTGCAACTTGAGAGCACTTTCCAGTACCGGCATGAATTGTGACAACAACAAAACAGACGTCTCTTGCCCTGAATATCCTAGGAGGTCGCCGTAAGTCGGCTGCGACTTGAGAGCACTTTCCAGCACCGGCATGAATTGTGACAACAACAAAACAATGCACAGTAGTAAGACCCATCCAGCAATAAAAGCAGCGTGAGAGCTAGCAATAAAACCACTATAAAAGGGCACAGGACCCCTGGAGAAATAGCCAGGGTGGAAGCTTCCGAGAGTGACATGATGGAGGTTTATAAGATTATGCATGGGATAGAGCAGTCAGAGAAAGAAGTACTTTTTTCTCCCTTTCTCACAATACAAGAACTCGTGGGTGAGCAGTAGGCTTAGAACAGATAAAAGGAAGTACTTCTTCACCAAAAAAGGGATTAACACATGGAATTCACTGCCACAGGAGGTGGTGGTGGCTACAAGCATGGAGAGCTTCGGTAGGGAATTGGATAATTGTATGGACCAGAGGTCCATCAGTGGCTATAAGACGCTGAACTGCAGGCTGTGGAAGGTCAGTAGTTCAGCAGTTCAAGACCTGAGTTGCCACATGATGGAGTAAGCTCCTGTCTCTAGTTCCAGCTCTTGCCAACCTAGCAGTTCGAAAGCAAGAAATTGCAAGTAGATAAATAGGTACCACTTC